CACGCGTTCGTATGCGCACATGAGCGCTCAGTATCAGATGTGCATCGATGGCTTGTGATTCCCTGATTGAGGGGCGAGATGTGATCTCTATGTGCTAATGTTGGGCCAGTTTGGAGGACTCGAGCCCAGATTTTTGCCTATAGCTTGAGCACCGAGGTGCTGATTGTGTGAGCACGTGTTTCTAGATCTATGTGTTCTGTTGTATTCCTATTAAGGGAAGTAATGACTGGATAGCTACGTGATAGTGTGATGTGACTGCGAGATGTATTCGTATGATTTGAGAGCGACGAGAAGGGTCTGCTGGAGGATAAAAGAACTATTAGGTGCTTGATTTCCGTCTTGATTTGAGGTATAGCCCCGAGTTAGGGGTTCGTGAAGAATCTTTTCATGTTTCCTAGTTGAGAGTGAAGTAAATTTCATGTTGCGGTATGAGTTCAGACTCAGGAAGATTAAGTGACTGNAAAATTTGGTACACCCGCCAAATGAGTCCCATTTTTTTACTTTTTATTTTTTGATTAATTTTAATAATATAAAACTTAAAATTATAATCTTTATTTTCCCTTTTCAGAGACGCTCACCTGTATATGCACAGTAACAAGACCATCTCCAAAATCCTCTCAAAATTCATTCCTCAAAATACTCTTTACCTAAAATCCAAATTCAGACGCTCCCAAAATCCTCTCAAAATCCATCTCCTAAAATCCTCTCACAGACGCTCACCTGTAGATTCATCTCAAAATCCTCACTTTCCCTGTAGATTCATCTCAAGGATAGACCAAAATCCCCAAATTCCAAAATCTATTTTATGGTCGATTCGAAGATGTTGTCCAAAGGAAGCTAGGTTTTCGTGAAACAAGCCGATTCCTGATTGTAGAGGTTCTTATAAAAGGGAGATTATTGTTGCATGTCTTCTGATTATTCAGAGAGGTATGTTGATCTCTTTTTTTTTTATCTTCACCTAGGTGTTGTTAGAATTAGGCTTTTCAATATTGGTTTATTTCTTGTGCTTTTTGATTTCAGTATTGTTTCTTAATATTTGATTAGTTTGGTTTGATATAATTTTATTTCTTTCTCCTTTTCTCTGTTACGTTGGTATGCCCAGTGGGTATTTGTTCTTTGCTCTCAGTTTCTGTTTGCTTCAACTAGCACTCTATTAAGAAGGGAGCATCACACATATATGCGAAATATCAACTTTTGGGGGAAAATAAAAACAACATTCCAAATAAATATGTATATGTAATTGAAGCCGGAAGTAGCTTTTATTTAGTACCGGGTAATGTTATTGGAAATGGGAGAAACGATGTTTTCCTAAAATTGATGTAATTTAACGATGTAAAAACGATATTGGTGTAAAAACGATGTAATTTAAATGTATTCTATTTCAACGTTCTGCTCGTTGCAATTCTTTAGCATCCCATGTTTTCCTTGAAGCTATTTTTTATGTTATTTCTTAATATGTTCCGAACTTGTTATATTATATCTAAAGTGGTAGGCCCAGATAGGTGGTTGGTAGCTGCTCCACTTTACAACCCAAAACATCTGCCAGATCATCAATACAATGCTCAGCATTAATACTAAACACATTACTCTTTGTCAAGTTCACTTTCAGTCCTGAGACAGCTTCAAAAGCTGGTAGTACTCCTCTGAGGTGTAAGAGTTGCTCTTTTTCAGCTTCACATAATATCAATGTATCATCAGCATAGAGTATGTGTGAGACATACAGTTCTTCCCCTTCATTTTTTCTAATTTTCAATCCTCTAATCCACCCTAACTTTTCAGCTTTTAACAACATTCTGCTAAAGATTTCCATCACCAACAAAAATAAATAGGGGGATAGTGGATCCCCCTGTCTTAGCCCCCTATGAGAATTAAAGTATCCATGTGGACTCCCATTAATTAAAACTGAGAAGCTAACTGAGGATATACAGAATTTTATCCACCCAATCCATCTTTCCCCAAAATTCATTTGTTTCATCAGATTCAACAAACATGACCAATTTACATGATCATAAGCCTTTTTCACATCAAGTTTGCATGCCACCCCTTTAATTTTCCTCTTGAATAGATATTCAAGACACTCATTAGCTACCATAGCAGCATCAATAATTTGCCTTCCTCTTACAAAGGCATTCGAATGGAGAAAAGGCCGGTTGATGTTCCTGAATCTCAATTTAGGGATCTTCTTAATTATTGGAACTCTGATGCCTACAAGGTAAAACTAAGTACTGTCCCATGATTTGCTAAGAATGTCTGGTTTATGTTTAGTTAGAAATCACATTATTATTTTTATACATCAAATGCACTTAGGTTACATAACCTAGTGCAAAATTTAAGCTTCATTTGAATCTAGTTTGGGTACAACTGAAACTTGACAACTTTGTATT